ACACTCCCTCCTCCAGAAGTGGAGGTGGCCTCACTGGCAGGTCCAGTCTCCCTCTCCAGCACCCAACGGTCCCTGTGTTACACAGGCAGGACTCACTCAATGCTGTCTGTACTGGTCATCACCACTTCTTGGACCATGGCCTAAAGACGGAATCCACACCTACGTCTGCAGCCCTTCTTCCAGGGGAAGTGCCACACTCTACAGCCCCATGTCATTTCCTCCCTCCAAAGCCGAATCCCGTCAACCCAGCAAGATGGTCTTCCAGTCCTACTGCGGGCGTTTCTCTCTGAAACCCAAGGGCCACGCTGTGCTTCCTCTTGTGGAGTCTGCCCCTCCCCCTGGGTCCCCCACGGCCTGCTCTTACAGTGATGATCCCACCTCCACCCGAGACGCCGCTTTCCTCATCCACCCGTGCCGTGGGAGAAGCAGGCGTGAGCAGTGACTCTGTCCCCGTGTTCACGGGCGCCTGCGAGACCCCGCACAGCTGACCTCTTGGCCGCGGATGGTGAGCCACAGTGTCAGACAGAGACCTGGGCAGCTGCCTGGGAGGCCTCTCCTATCTCAGAGAGCCTTCCTGAGGGGTGGCTCCAGCAACTGGGTCCTGTCGGCCGGGAGCTCCTGCTGGCCCTCTGCGCCTCTGCGCCTCTGGCGCTCTGACTTTCTCTACTGAGGAGTTGGGACGTTCAGTGGGGTCTGCCCAAGGTACACCCCTCGGAAGACAGGGCTCTCTACGGGAATGTTTAGGGTGCTTTTCTCCCTGGAGCCCCCGTGAGGAAGACCCAGCTTTAAGTATTGCCCGTTTGCTTAGAAGGAAAGAGAAAACCCTGGAAAATTCTTAGCTGCTTCTTTGAAAAACCACAGGAAGAGATGAAAGTCTCTGAAACTCTAACCTTTTTAAGAAAGCTATCATTTGGCCCAAGTCTGATCTGAGCAACATTCAGCATCCTACGACTTTTTCCCAGGATTTTTTGTTGTTGTTAAGAGAGAGGATGATGCTCCTCCAGATGTTTATCTGGCAATTATTTTTATATAAACAAAGAAAAAATAGTTGAGTGTATTTTCCTCACTGTCAGGCAGAGCAGCAGGGCATCATCTCTGTGCCAACAGCCCCGTGACGAGAAGACCCTGGGCTCTGCAGCGGGGTGGGTCCATCACAGCTCGTGCCCACTGGTCTTTAGGTCAGGCTGCCGAGACGTCACCTGTGGCTTGACTATGCTGGGAATCTTTTCTTGTCCGCGTTGTTCCCTTTCATAACTTCTCTTCAAGTCGGAATCAGGATGAAGTGCAGGGGACAAAGGACCTGTCACCCTTCCAGTTCTCCAAAAGGCAGGTTTTCAAGAGGGACCAGCAGCCTGTGACACCAGACCGGAGCCCAGGATCTTTCCCTGCCGAGGGTCAGCACGGGACACGGCTGCACGTCACGCGATTCTTTCCACAGGAAGCTTTCGGGCCACGCAGAGAAAGGCCGAGAGCCGAGCCTTCTCCAGCTGCAGGACGTCTGGTCCCTCAGAACTCCCGAACGCTCACTCCTGTGCCACTGAAGGACACTTGTAGAGAGAGGTTCTGCATCAGGATGTGGACTTTTCAGCCAAGTCGCTATAGGAAAATGACAATGTCACAGAGGCTCCATCGTCTGCTGAGGGGTGATGCCGCCTCTCCATGGGGCCTGCGGCAGGCGCCCCACTCGCTTACGGCCTTGAGGTCAGAAGCTCTGGTCCAGGCCGAGGGTCCTCCCTCAGGACCACCAGGGGCAGGTTCCAGTGCCACTCAGCGTCTCTAGCATCTGCTACTGAACTCGCACAGCGTGCCCCGGCCTTCCCCTTGGCCTGGGTGCAGTGACGCCACCCTGAGGTGGCTGCATTTTCTCCATCTGCAGCTCCCTGGCCAAGGCCACAGAGGGACTGTGCAGGGGAGTGGACTGGGAACTCAGATCTGGCCACGAGGCCTACTTCCCCATAACCGTGCTAGGTGCCTCCCCTGACCCTGACCCACAGAAGCCTTGTCCAGAGCGCGGCAAGGGAAGCACATGTCCACACTGTCCTGTCTGCTCCAGGGGAAGCTGCCCCCCGAGCAGCCTGGGCAGTTCTCTAGAGATGCTCGTACGCCGGGAGTGCACGCACCGAGGCACAGCTCCCGCCACTGCCAATGAGACACCATCCTCACCGAAGCACCCGAGCCTGTGGCCTGGGGAGCTGGCCAGCCAAGTGCGGTCCTTGGTCGTTCCCCTAAACACAGCCCACGTGCATGGAAGGAGCTCAACTGAGACTCCCACCATCCACTTCTTTCTGTGGCTTTAACTTTAAACACACGCCCCACAAAGGCAGGGAACGCTCCCGTGTGGCCGGGCGGCCGCTCACCGCTGTATGTAGGAGTTGTTCACGCCGCGGTGATCCAGGTCGTGGCTGAGCGCGGCGATCAGCAGCGCCAGGACCTCCAGGTCGGTCAGCTTGTTCTGAGGGTGTCGGGGAGGAGAGAGGCGGTGAGGGCGCTGCGCTGCTTCACCAGGACCCAGTCTGCGGGGAGCAGCGTGCAGGCACCTGCAGCAGGCACCACAGTGCCCCTCAAACAGAAGCCAAGGAGTCTCAAAAGTAGTGATCTGTCCACACCGAGGAAATATCACTTTGGGGGATTCTGGGGAAGGACCCCAGAGCCAGCCAAGGGCTGAGCCCTGAGCCACACCCCAGCCCCAGGCCACTGACTGTTCACTCTCTGTGTGTTTGGGGAACCCTGTGACAAGCCTTAATCCACTTTCCCTCCTTCAGTTCCCTGCAGACTGTCTCCCTCGCCTGTCAGCCGCGGCACCACTCAGAAATGTGGGCATGGGAACTCCAGCAGACCGCAGAAACCAGACGGCCAGGGAGAAAAACCTGGCTTTCAAGATGTAAAACTGTGTTCCCGAGCCAAACGTGGGTCATTTCTGAGTCTGCCTTACGGCCTCGGGGCTCCCAGATGCGAGCTGGATATGGCGCAGGCCCTCCTGCGGAATCGCTCAGTGCTACGGAACAGGTTTCTAAGCACACGCAAAGACCGCTGCTTCTGAGCACCCTCTGCTTAAGTGTATCCTATGTCTCATGAACGTTTGCCCCGGCAGGGAAACGCCATCCAGCATCTGCACAGCCTCTAGGTCAGCGGTCACTTCTACGCCCGTGCTGGGCCAGCGCTCCACCACCGCTGCGGCCCAGCCTCTCCTGCTTTCAGATCTAGCCGTGTGAACCCCTGAAAGCTGAGACAGACAACAGCTGCGGACTTCATTAAAGAGCAGAGTGAGGAGTCTGGACTAATGGAGGCCTGGGATGGATGCAGGACCCGGAGGAGGACTGCTGATCCCTGCTGGGATAGGATCTCAACAGAGATGGGGTGAGATGGGAAGAGCGATCGCCTGCACTGCGTCTGCACGTCTCCCTCCAGTCCCTGGTCAGTGTCGAAGGAAGCAGACCTTTCTACAAGGTAGCCCTCGGAATCACCTCAGTGCTCCAGAGGAGGCAGTGGAGAGCCCGGGGTCCCCCAGAGGCCCACTAGCCGTGGGCGGCTTCTGGGGGGCGCTGCTCTGCCTGGGGCGGAGGGGAGCACGGAAGGTGGGACTTTCTCACCCCTCCAGCGCTGCCTGCCACAGGCGATGATTGCCTTCCTACAAGCATTCTGGATAACAAGAGGTTTCCTAAGGGTCTGCGTGGCCGCTCGTACTGTCTGTGACAGTGAGCCACGAGGCGTTTTGCTATCCCAGGCTTTCCGACAAACTCGTCCTCTCCAAGTGGCAGGTAGCTAATTCCAGTCCCCACTAGTGCACATTAAAAGGACTTGGAAGACCCTGCCGCCCCTCTCCCGGGCACTGGCTCTGAGCGGCTCCATGCGCACCTGGATCTTGCCGGCTCTCAGGGCAGCGAACATGCACTGGGCAGTGTTGAAGGCGTGCCTCCAGTTGTGGTAGGCCACATGCTTCCGGTAGTTCTTCTTCACACTCAGGACCCACCTGCACAGCACCTGTGGAGACAGCACAGGAGTGACAACAGCCCAGCACCGCACGCTGCGGCACAGGCACTGCAGAAGGCTCAGTCCAGCCTCGGCAATGAGGGGGCAGGCCCCATGCCCGACCCTGTGCACGAGGAAGCTCCTGGCCAGGGCCTGCTGGGGGGCCAGGGCTCAAGCTGGGGCAGTTCCAACCGGAGCCCAGGAACCACCAGGCTATCCAAGTTAGACATCAGATGCAAAACGCTGCGGACGGAGAAAGGCACCCTTGGCACGGCAGCACTGGCTGGCTCGTCTTGGTTGTTAGTGCACCGCAGCGTGTGTGACAGTGGGGTGCATTCTGACACATTCACACGTGCACAGGACAAAATCTGCTCATTTCCCAGGTCCCCAGTACTTCCCCTCCCCTCCCCTTCCCTGCCCCCAGATCTCTTCCTCTCTGGCCCTCCTTCTGTGATTTCAGGTATCTCTCCATTACAGAGGGACTTAGAGTGGAGTCCTGGGATCCGTTCACAGTGTACACAGCACAGTGCGGTCAGCTCCATTCTGCAGCCCCCCTGTCCTTCCCCTCCTCTCTCCCCCAATCCCCTTCCTCTATTGCTCTCCCTTCTATTTTCATGATATTTCCCTTTTTAAAATTCCTTAGTTTCCTGTGACTTCTGTATGTGAGAGAAATCACCCAATCCTGGGCTTTCTAGTCTGGCCTCTTTCACTTACATGATGTTTATCAGGTCCATCCACTCACCAGTGAGAGATCACTTCATTCTTCCTTACAACGGAGTAAAACTCCACTGTGAATATGCACATTTCCTTTATCCATTCCTCTGCTGATGGACACCTGGCCCAGTTACACCACTTGGCGCTGTGACTGTGCTGCTATAAACATCAGTATGCCCACATCACGGTAGTATGCTGACTTTAGATCTTCTAGATAAAGACCTTCCTTTAAGGAATCTCCACACTGCTTTCCAAAGTGGCTGTATTAATTTGCAGTCCCACCAACGATGGATGAGTGTACCTTTTCCCCACAACCCTGCCGGTGTTTATTACTGTTTGCAGTCTTGCAGGAGTGAGATGAACTCTCAGAAGTTCTGGTTTGCATTTCCATGATTGCTAGGGATGTTGAACATTCTTCACACACTTGTCGGCCATTGGAACTCCTTCTTCTGAGAAATGCTGCCTCACTTCATTTGCCTGTCGATTGCGTGGGCTCTCTATATTTTTGGTGTTAAGCTTTTTGAGTTCTTTGTGTATTTTGGATATTAATTCCTGTTGAAAGAGTAGCTGACAAAGATCTTCTCCATTCCATAGGCTCTCTCCTCGGGCTCATTTCCTTCACTGTGCAGAAGATTTTTAATCTGATGCCACCCCTATTTATTCATTCTTGGTATTATTTCTTGAGCTTTAGGAGTCTTATTAAGGAAGTTGACCTGTGCTTTCTTATGACAATCAGAAATTTTCTGGTCTAATTCCTAGGGTTTTGATCCACGTTGAGTTGACTTTTCTGCAGGGTGAGATGGGGATCTAGTTCCATCCCTCTACATATGGATTTCCGGTTTGCCCAGCACCTTTTGTTAAACAGGCTGTCTTTTCTCCAGTGCATGTTTTTGGCGACTGTCGAGTGTCCGACGGCTCTAAGTCGGTGGCGTGTCTCGGGTCTTCTCTCCACTGGTCCCCTGTGGTACAGCCCGAGGCCAGGTGGTGGGCCGCCTCCTGTGCTGCTCTTCTTGCTCAGCCTGCTTTGGCTACTCTGGTTCTCTTATCCTTCCAAATGAATTTTAGGACTGTTTTTTCTACTTCTGTGAAGAATGTCACTGGTATTTTGACCGGGATGCACTAAATCTGTAGATTGCTTGCTAAGATATCCCACCCTGTGGCATCAATTAGGGGAGCCTGAGAAGCCACACCTGTGGGGATTCTCCCTCGGAGAGCAGGCTCTTCCTGGGCTCAGGTGCTGCACATCTGCAAGGGTCATAGGTGCCAGGCCTTGGGGTGGGGTGGGGCGGGGCAAGTGCATGTCCAGCTCCAAGTCCCAACACACACTGATGAGATCTCTGACCTTTCAAACTACGCATACATCTCGGGCAAAGTTACTGCTTAGCTACCAAGCACCAGGCTTTTGAAGATTGTATATGCAAAATAAAGCTCTGGGTCCACAGGAAAACAACAGCAGCAAAAGTAGCTTAAAGATGGAGAAAGAAGCTCATCTCTGAGCAAGTGCCACAGTCTGGGTTCATGAGCACTGAACACACTCCCAGAGCCTGGGCTGAGCCTGTTATTCTGGGTTTAGTTGGCGTCAGAGCATGAGACTGGTGCTCCATAGCAGGAGGGAAGACCAGTGGGTCTACGGACCACAGTCCGGATCTCCTGGGCCCCAAGAGCAGGTACAGCCCATGGCTGGCCTGTGGGGTCTGGCTCCCTGCCCCCAGTGACATGGGGTCTGGCTCTCCCCGCCACCACGCAGTGACATGGGGTCTGGCTCTTCACCCCCTGCCAATGATGTGGGGTCCGGCTCTCCCCCCATGCAGTAACGTGGGGTCCGGCTCTACCCCCGCCATCATTCAATTCTTGACTTTCTAGTCTGGCCTCTTTCACTTAGCATGATGTTTTCCAGGTCCGATTCCCCCCCTACAGTGACGTGGGGTGCGGCTCTCCCCCCACAGTGACACGGCCCCCCCCCCCACAGTGACGTAGGGTTTGGCTCTCCCACCACAGTGACTCGGGGTCCTGATCCCCCCAACAGTGACATGGGGTCCGGCTCCTCCCCCACAGTGACATGGGATCCGGCTCTCCCCCTACAGAGTCACAGGTATGGTTCACTTGGAGAAGGACGGGCTCACACCTCCAGCTATAGGCCTGATGCAGGACCCTGGCTGTGTCTGCCCAACTTCCTCTCTGGCCATGGGCCCCAAGAGCAGGCACAGCCCCCAGCCGGCCTGTCCCAGGCATGGGTGGACACTTCCATAGCAGACTGACAGACAGAGTAAGGCTTCTCTCCAGGGAGGCCAGTGGTACCCGAGACAGGGTGTCCAACTGTGAGTGACTTGCAGGCCGAGTTATTCCCCTGTGGGCCTTCTGTCCACACTAGTTCTCGGGCACTGGACAGAGCACTACAAGGCCAACAATTCCTGGGTATCTCCAAATGGGAACGAGAAGGTCCTGACTCGAGTCTTCTGGGAGGCCAGAGTGAGGGGGTCAACCACTCTCGGCCTCACCCACAGGTGACCTGTGGGCACGGTTGGCCTCCCGTCAGTGCCTGGACCCTGGCTGCAGACAAGGACACTCACGATTGTCCTCCTTCATATACTGGTAGTATGTCAGCCACCACCTTGCACAGTGCTGGCTCGGACCTCCTGGGGACGAGAGCCCAGCTCCTCTGGACGGCTCCCAGGCCCCTCACCCCGCTCCTTACCCTGCTCGCACCCCACCTGTCCACTACCCAGCCTTCTGCATCCAGCTCCAACATCTAGAACACTCCCTCGACTTCAGCCTGGAGCTGGACAGTGATCAGTGCGTCCTGCGGGTCTTTAGATGGACAATGGCTTTTCTTTTAACACAAGGAAACCCAGTGACTTGGGAGGCCGGGCAGCGGGAGACTGAGACCAGCCTGGGCAACCCGGCAAGACCACGCCTCAGAGGCAACACGGCCTCTCGGAACCCAGCAGTCCTTCGTCCAGGCTGGCGCCCAGCGCTGCCTCCCTGGCCGATGCCCCACCTCATGCTTCATCTGGAAGCGCTGCACGAGGCGGAGGTCGGTGAACATCCGGACCGTGCACAGGGCCGTCTCCAGGTCCGACAGCTCGAAGTCACTGAAGCGGAAGTCTGTGATCTTGAGGGTCTGGGCAGATGGCACCACGGCAGCCTTGGGCGAGAGGAGAGAGAGAAAAAGCTGTTGCCTGAAGCGGCAGCAGACCACGAAGCCTTCTCACGTCACTCTAGGGAGCCAGTTCACCGTGATCGTTCATTCTCTCGTTTTTAATGTGGCTCTAGTCTGGATTATGAAATGTCCCTCAAAGCCCATAGGTCAGTGATACTAAATAAAAGCCAATTGCTCTAAATGCTGTCTGACTGACAAGGAGCTCAATATCAGGCTGCCCACCAGCTGCCAAGGCCTGCGTCCACCACGCCGGCACTTCAGCAGTGGCCACTGGGAATTCCGGTCATCCTGGCACCGTGGTCAAGGGGTTTGACTCTCCCCCACGTGTGTCCACCTGCAAAGTCAGCAGGCTGGAGTGGACGGAGGTCCTACCTTCCCTGAGGCTCCCCGACCTTCATCTCTGCCCCAGCTCTCTGTGCCTCGCTCTACCTCCTCACCGTGGGGCCGATGCCGCACCATGAGTTATGGGGGTCTCGCTGGGGCCTTCCTGGGTAGGACCAGCTCTGCCCCTGATTCTCCTGCACTGAGGGGACCCTACCCGCTGTATGGTGTGCAGGAGGGTGGGCTGCAGAGTGCAGCCTCCCTTCTCTCTTCAGAAGGCTACAAATGAAAAACAACCACTATCAGGCAGCAAAGGCAGGAGCAGGCAGAGGGATGGGATGCACACCGCCCATCACCGCGGTCACGTGTGACATGCTTTCCCCTCACCAGCTTCACATGAGAGTGTCACTTCAGACCTTAAGAGGGACACACACAGAATATACAAACTCAGATAAGGAGTTTGTGACTTTAAAAATCATAAAAAGAAGAACAATCATAATTTCTAAAATCTGAGAAACCAAAGAGAGATTAAGAGTAGATTAAGAGACACCCAAACTGGTTCACACTTAGGCATATTGCTCCACACACGGTACCCACACGTCAACAGAAGTCATGCACAAGGACCCATATGTGAACTGGAGCCACAAACAGCCATGCACAGGACTCGGCACCTGGAACCCAGACCTGGTTCACACCTAGGACACAGCATATCTCCAAACACAG